TTAAACAATTTATCAAACAAAATTAGACCCATTTCATATGTTTATTGATATAATTAGTTTAAATTTTATATTAAAACTTTTTTTTGAAAAAAATATTATGGTGTTTTATTATTTTTTTATTTAAAACAGATTTCCGCGAAGATCCGGATATCCGAAAATATCCAGAAAAAAATCCGAATATACGTCATTCCGGATATCCGAAATTTTTCGATGCAAATCAAATTAGAAAATTAGATATCCGTCAAAAACAAATCAAATCACAAAAACTGTATCTTTCCATATATCCGATCTGCGCCCAAGCCTAGTATCGTCTATTGTGTAATCAATTAATCAAACAGTAAAAATATAGTGAAAGGAAACGATGGTACCACCAATTTTATTACAATTATTTTTTGATGGTACAAGTACAAATTTTTTGATCTTATCGTTATTTTGTACTGCTTATGAACTTCATTTTGTACAGTTATATTATACTATAGAAAACTGTAAGGGCTTGTGTCACCGATCAATGTATACATGTGTATATATATGTGTACTAATGGATGTCACCATACGTTACTGTAATGTAGAAAATCCTGTGGAGAAAACAGCAAGACAACAAAGGGTCATTGAAGGGGAAACAGTAGGGTTGATGGAGGAAACATCTGCTCAATTGTGGCTCATGCTAGAGCGCTAAATACAAAAAACAGTGATGATCAACTCAAAACTCAAAACCCTGCTACTCTCCCAACCTCACAAGATCAACCACAACTAATTGAGCCTGAGTAGAACCCTGAAGTGGTGACAAAGAAAAGACGTGGAAGACCTCCCCAAAAGAACATAACGGGACTGACAAGGTTCTCCAAAGAGCAAACTCTCGCAAAAGGAAAATAATCCAGTTGTCTTCATGGAAAAAGTCCAATACACCAGACAGTATAGGAGAGACACTAAATGAGAATGTACCTGAACCAAACTTCCAAATGGGATCCAACAGAGCATCTATCAGCAACATGGCGCCCCTTATAAGGCTCATACCTGCTATTGTGAGAACCCCTGCCTTCAATGTCTACCAAGCTACACAAAGAAGCGAATCAAATCACCAAGCAGGCAACCAAACTGATAATCAAATTACTACTCTAAGGAGAAGGGCTCACCAATCAGAAAGAGGACAAGTTGACAAAGGCCAGGGGGACACCTCCACACCAGCAAGTGAGACTAAGACTCCAATGAGACTGTGATCAAAGCACTAGACTGGCTTGGCTATGACTCTAATCACCTGGTCAGTCCTCAAGGCAATGGGG